TGCCTCTCTGTCTTAAAAAGGACAAGCAGACAAGAAAGCTCTGTGGACCTGACCTGAGCTCTGCTCTGTATTCTGAAGGGGTTGCCTCTCACTTTTATGCCCATGAAAATTGACAGTAAGGACATCCACTTAAAATTCCTTTGTTACTTGAGATACGGAAGGATTCCTGTCTCTAATGCACACCTCACAAAGTAGCTGTACCCAATGTTCTCACATCATAAGCTCAACTGACTAAGGTCATCTCATAAACTGTCCTTTTCCCTGTGAAATAATTTGAGGCCTTTATATTGTATCTGCACAACCAACTAAGCCTTCGTGTTTATTTTGATCACTGTAGTCTAGGTTCTTCTGTATAACATTTCTCAGAAGCATAATGAACATTTTTTTTTTTCCAATTCAGCCCAAGGTAGGTCAAGGACTTTCCCCTGTGGCCTTGCCATACAAAAGAAGGTTGTTGAAGTGAAGGAGATGAGAGGGGAGGTGCACACTGGCTCAAGCCGCCTCATCCAGGAGGTGTCCAACAGTGATAAATGTCCTTCCACTCACATTCCCTGGTCAGAACTAGTCACCCAGTCTCAGCCTAGGGGGAGGAAGCTGGGAATTATAAAGGGTGCATGGCCATACAGCGAGCACAATCGTTTCCGCCACACTGCATCATACACACGTCCTAGGAAAACTTTACCAATATCTATACTCATAAGTGGGGGAAAAAATAGCACGGCATAGGCATCTCAAGTCCACGGCCTGCTCCACAGGGATGTTCAAGGATCCCTGATATTTTTTGGTTCTTGTACAGCTCAGAAGAAAATCTCAGCTCTCTTCAACACAGGAATGGAATGAACTTCTTGTCTCAATTGCTGCTAAGATACAGCACTACATGAATTATTTTAATAGGTGCTCTCATTCTGCAAAATATTTAAGGCACAAAGCAGAATAATATTGTGACTTGTAAAATTAAAAAGAAAAGAAGAGGAAAACACCCATGTGGATTATGGCCACCAACCTGCTCTGATAAACCTTAGCTTCTTGGTTTCCAATAACACAACCTTGGTGGTCTGATGCTGGGACCCCTGTGTAAAGTGGCCCATCACAAACTGTTACCCTTACCTGAGCACCACTGGCAGTCACCGCTCACAGAAAACAGAAGAATAAGTTACCATGGAGACTAAGCCAACTCTGGTTTCAGAATGTCTGATTCTTCCAAGTCAAAACAGATACCAGAAAAATCACAAGGTCCTCGGAGAGACAGGCAGCTCCAAAGCTGGCTTCAGTAATCGTGCAGCTAACCACACTTCCACTCTCATTCAACAGAAAAACAAGCATTCCACAAAAAGAGAATCTTATGCGATCAGTGTTTACAAAATAAATCTCCATATTCATCTAAACAATGTGGAAAGTTTAAATTGCAAAGTGTTTTCTGCGTCTGCTTAGCGCTTTATTAATGGGGTGACCGTGCTGCTTAACCTATTTGCTGAAATTTGCCAGAGCTCCAGGAGACCATATGGACACCAGATGGGTGGCTGTAATTTAATGCCTCTATTCTAAGGATGAAACAAGGTAAAAGCATGATTTGCATTCTTTTCCATTCTTTCTGCATACCTTTTTATTAGTTTCATTTTTAATTCAGACATCAGAGGGGAAGATAACACCTTCCTGCCAGGGCCCAGATGCCAACTAAGCAGTACAAGAGACTCCAGCCCTGACATCACAGGCCGGGCCTCTGAACACACTCCATCTCACTCGGTGACCCCACGTCGTGATTAATAGGGTGAGTGCTAGGACCTAATGAGTGTGTCAGATCTTCCTTGTTCTCTAGGCTAATATCATTAGCATTATGTTGAACAGAATATTTAAGTTACTTGGTAGAGAAAGATTCATTATACTTTATAGTAAACTATACCTTTTCACCTCATGGTCTTTAAATATATTTTATAATCATCAAACTAAAAGACTTCTATGAGTAGACATTTTTGAAATGCTAGAGGAAAATATAAATATTGTTTAAATTGAATATTGATTTTCTTCTCCAACAGTGAATCCCTCTGCTGTCCATAAAGTGGCCTTCAGAGATGTTTGTTAAAAATGGAAGTTCTTAAACTCTAAGATCAGATACTCTGCTGCCAACAGGCTTTGAGATAAAGCCTAATGCTGCATTTTTAACAAGACATCCATGATTCAGGAGCTTAAAATCTGTGGAACCCACTTGAAAAAACACTACAACTTGTAACTGTCCAAAGAAGATTCTCAGAAAGTGTTTTAGAAGCACACGTTTCCATTAACATATCCAAATGGCATTTTTAAGATACCTTTTGAAATTGGAAGAGAAATGCGTGATTCCTCTCTCCAAAAGGGGATGTGAGAGACACACTTGAGTTAACTGAAAATCACTGTATGCAACAAGTGGAAACACACACCTCCACCAGCAGCAGCATGCGTGTGCACACACACACACACACCAGCAGCACGTGTGTGCTCACACACACACAACCAGCAGCACGTGTGCACATACACACACACCAGCATGCATGCACACACAGACACACACACACATCAGCAGCACGTATGCGCTCACACACACACCAGCAGCACACATGCTCACACACACACACCAGCATGCATGCACACACAGACACACACATACACTAGCAGCATGCATGCACTCACACACACACCAGCAGCACACGTGCACACACACACACACCAGCATGCATGCACACAAAGACACACACACACACCAGCAGCACGCATGCGCTCACACACACACACACACACCAGCATGCATGCACACACAGACACACACATACACTAGCAGCATGCATGCGCTCACACACACACACACCAGCAGCACACGTGCTCACACACACACACACCAGCAGCACACGTGCTCACACACACACACCCCCCCACAGAGAACGGAGGACTACTTCAGCGTCAAAGGTTTACTCGGCAGTACAACAAAGGGGTGGTGTTTTAAGAATTATTACTGTGGGCAGCACCTGTTGCTCAGTGTGTAGGGCATCAGCCCCATATACTGAAGGTAGCAGGTTCGAACTCAGCCCTGGCCAAACTGCAACAAAAAATAGCCAGTGTTGTGACAGCCACCTGTAGTCTCAACTACTTGGGAGGCTGAGGCAAGAGAATCGCTTAAGCCCAGGAGTGGAGGTTGCTGTGAGCTGTGATGCTACAGCACTCTACCAATCTACCAAGGGTGATAAAGTAAGACTCTGTCTCAAAAAAAAAAAAAAAAAGATAACTACTGTGTCACTGAATAAATGACCTTGGTGAATGCAGCACACAAGTCGCCGCATTGGGATGGAAGGAATCGGGTGTTCAGGCCTGGGCCAGATCTGGCTGCGTCGTCACTTGCCAGATAGAAAGAAGAGGACGGAGAAAGTCAGAGAGCACCGGGTTAGATTCCTGGCATCTCAACCACTCCCTGCCATTAATAGCTGTTTGACTTGGAAGCTATTTGATCTGTCTGTTTCCTCACCTATGAAACAGAAAGAAGGTCATACTTCCTGAAAGGTTGTTGAGAAGGTGACGTCCCATCACACCTATCATGTCCTTGGAGAGGGCTTGGCTGAAAGTGCACGTTTATAAATATTCGGTATTATTACTAACACTTTTTCTCCACTATGAGTAGCCATAGTATCTTTACTTATAAAATGAGAAATTACTCTAGATACATTTTACGATTTCTTTAAAGTCTTATTTCTGAGTTCATACTTTTTTTTAAAGTCAAATGTCCAGTTGAAAAATGAAAACTCAAAACCTTATTTATTTCAAGTAATGACTTTCAAAAACATGTACAAGAAGATCTGATCTGCCACTGAGATTGATTTAAAATAAAAAACAGGTGACATAATAATGCCCTAATAATTCAAAAATTTTTACCATTCAGAAGTGATTGGTGCTTTGATACATTATCACTCATGACACACTGATTTGAACAGAGAATGTAACAGATAGTTGTCAGGCAGACACTTACGTACAGGACGCGTCATATTTGGTGAGTCTTATGGAGATCCGAAGGTCTTTCAATCACACACACCTGAGTGGGCCCACAATGTGCACAGTCACACTCCCTTTTTACAGTTTAAGCTGAAGTAGTTTCTGGGTTTATAAACAGTCAGCACCTTGAGTTTCCTTCTCATTCAGAAGAAAATATTTCTGAATGTTTTCTTAGAGTTTAAGTAAAATAGTATACTTAAAGTTAGTTACTATTTTACTTAAACTTAGAGTCTTAGTAAAATTGTAAAAAAAAAAAAATGCCAAAACTGCACTGTAGACTTTATTCCAAACTAAATAGAAAGGTTCTTCACTTGGCAATTTCATAATTTAGTAACTTCACAAAATATAAAACCTCTTCCAAAACTTAAGAATCAAAATGAAGTGAATATTCACATGTACCCTTAAAAGATAAACCACAGACGTGATCCCACCAATCACCTTCCCTCCACCCATCCTCACATGTGAATCTTTCTAAATGAAGAATATAAATGTCTTAACACAATAACCAAGAAAATGGCATGAAGACTATGTTAACCAGTTGGATGAGAATATTTCAAATTATATATAAAAAGAGCACACTGTACCCCATGACAGTATCAATGTACACAGCTATGATCTAATAAAAAAAAATAAACCAGAAGGGTGGGAGAAGCTAGGGAAATGCCGGGAGTGGTGGAGAGAAAAGAATGTCTGAATAAATGGGATTGGGAAGCATTTGGAGGCCCCTCCCCCTTTTAATTCATACAGAGATCAATGCATACTTTAACTAAACACCTTAACTAAAGTCTTAAAAAAAAATGAAGGGAATAGTTCAAGATGTTGAATCCCTAAAATCATTCAGTTCTAATTATCTTGATACTTTGAATTAGCTCTAAGGGACTACACATCATGAACAGAGGCATTCATTGACCAAGACACTGTATGTGCCAATAAAATATTGTGGCAGGGAGACATTTTCTTAAGTTAAAATTCTATTACAAGAATCTTACCTCCTGCGTACATCACAGCCAGCATAATGGACGATATCCACGCTATTTCACTGTGGGTAGCATGGAATATCTGTTGAATGTCTTTGAAGAATACTGTGACGGCTTTGGGGAAGGCGTAGGAAAATCCGATGGAGATAAAGGCGGCTCCCACCACCACCCAGCCCCACCCTCCGTCTGGGGGTAGGTACACGGGCTGGGTACTTGGGGGTGGTGGCATTTCTGCTCGTCTCAATGAAATTCAAGTAATCTGTATAAAAAAAAATGAAACGAGTGTAAATTTTATTTCCATTTTTGTTTGCCACTCTTCATACTCACTAAAGCATTTTCTAGCTATAAATACAATATGATTTTTCACAGATATTTTTCATATGCTTGCACTCAGAAAATTATCAGACTATTAACCAAAAAATGATGTGAGGTAGATAACTGACTACTGTGGGATGAAATTGAGAGCATCTAATATTTTTATGGCAACACAAATTACTCAAAAGGAGTTTGAAATTTATATCTGAAGTATCAATCATAAAACAAATGCTATCTCCATCTTATTTGTAAGCATAAGGGAAATAGAACTGTCATCGTTTAAAACAGATGCAACATGTTTAAGATTCTCTACACAAGGTTTCAAAGGACCATGTGTTAGCTCTGATGAATTACAAAGCATTAAATGGCAGGCATATTTTAGAATTTTGCCACTTTTAGTCACTGAGAATAACTTTAAAGCATTTCAGCCTGAATTTATATTTTAAACCTATGGGATTAGACATTGTATGTTTCTATGAAATTAAGTTAATTTTAATGCCCTTCCAAAACAGATGCTACCTATCATCTTGCAAATTATAACATTTTATGTATTTTTCATAGCCCTGATAGTAGCTCAATCAAAAGGATTATATATTTGTTTGTTGGGGTGGGGGTGCAGCTTTCCTTTCACATATGCTTAGGAATACTTAATTGCTAGTTTTATAACATAGAGCACCCATTCTCCTGTGGAAGGAAATGATCACACATAGCTTAATACATTTGAACGTAATGAAACATCTAGGCTCCCACCATCAATGTTCCCTTGTAGACTAATGATGATCCCTTGGCTCTTAGCTTCACTTTTTGTAACATCTTACTTATAGGAGAATGCTCTCTCCTTCCACTTGTGGGTATTTTGAATTTAGAATGAAGAGGAACAAGAGAAACACTCCTTTGAAAGTAAGATAAATTTGAAACAAGCTAACTGACTTTGCCACATGTCTCTGGACAACCTACCACCCCCGCCCCCCCGTCCAGTACCTGTGACAATAGATAGAGGTTGAATTTTTGCTTAGTGTCATCTCAGATATTTTTAGTGATCTTCTATCCACATATGTTTAGATTTTGAGTGAAAATATTCTCCACACTAAAATTTTATAAATTGTCAGTGGTTACACACAAGGACTTCGCTCTCAGAAACCCATGTCAGAAAAATTACAAAAGCAAATTGTAAAATTGGAAGACCAGTGTCTCAATAGAATCAGTACTAGAATGGAGAGCAGCACCATGTGAGAAATTATCCAGACTCTCATTATTATAACTATAATTTTGTTTATTTTGGCAAATACACTTAAAGACTTCTTAACATAATGTTAATATTTTTAAGTAATTCAAGGGTGGAAGAAATTCAGTATAAACTACAATTATCAGATGATAGGACCGAAGATTAAAATGCTCATTTTATGAGTCAGACCCATCTCTGAGAGCGCTCTCATACACATTCTATTAATACTTTAATCACCATTTGTTTTGACATCATTAACTGATATTTATACTTCTGGATTTTTCCTTTTTAAGGCTGAACCAAGGGATGAATTCCTCAACTCTTTCTTTTGAGTCAGATGGCCAGAGTGCTAGGACTCTAGGCACGAGCCGCCAGGCTCAACAGAAACAATTCTTACGTATCTTTCAAGATGATCCATTGGCCTTTTTTTAAATTGCCTTCTGTTATGTCCCTCTTTTCATGACTGTACCTATTTAAAGTATAAAACATGATGTTCTGATACACGTATTTATGGAGAAATGATTACTAAAGTCAATCTAATTAACATATCCTTCTCCTGTTGTAGTTAAATTATTCCCTTTTGTGCTGAAACCACCTCAAACTTGCTCTATGAAGATTTCTTCTGTGTCTGGGTATTTCACTTGGTGTGATGTGCTCCACAATCATCTCTGTGGTCACAAAAGCAGCTCCGTTCTTCTCCTTTGAATTAGATGAATGACTACATTTTATTTCTTTTTATTTGTTTTATAGCATTGATATAGTTATTTTATAAAACAGGGGTAGGAAAGCTTTTTCCCGGAAAGGACCAGAAAATAAATATTTTAAGTTTCATGACTATAGGGTCTCTTTTGCAACTACTCAACTTGATAGTTTCAAAATAAAAATAGCCACAGACAATACTTAATAATGGAGCATGGTTGTATTCCAACAAAATTTTATTTACAAGCTAGCCAGAGGGCTGCCAGTTTCCAACCCCTGTAAGAGAACATTTAGAAAATGAAGGGAAAAAATGACATGGAATCACACCACCCTCTGCCATTATTAATGATTTTGCATTATTAATAATTTTGTATCTTTCTTTTCTTTATTTTTATATTCATCTATTTCTAATTAAATGAAACAATGTTACAATTTTACAAAGTATATGTAATTATGAATACGTTTTTCATATTTTTTTGTCTTTATGATCAATCATTTTTTTTGTCTACATAGTTTCTGCAATATGAAAAATACAAAAAGTGAAAATCACAATTAAAAATTATCAAATAATATTTTCCATTGCCACCATTATTTACAGAGAAGTAGCTCTTTTTATCATGTTTTGTTTTAAATATTTTATCTTTTCTTTGTTTGCATATTCATACATTAAAAAAACATTTTCTTTTTTAGTATTTTTACTTTAAAATTATATCTGTTAAAAATTTATGGTATATAACATGATGTTTTATATATGCTTACTTTTTAAAAAGCAATTTCAAATTATTCTTTTAGAAGAAGTTTAGGTATAAATGATAAAATTCAACTGTCATCTTATTATACACTGGGTTGAAAATATATATTTTTTAAATTTTAAAATGGTATGAGGGGCGTGGCGCCCTTAGCACAGTGGTTACAGTGCTGGCCACATACACCGAGGCTGGCAGGTTTGAACCTGGCCCGTCCAGCTAAACAACAACTACAACAAAAAAATAGCTGAGTGTTGTGGTGGGCGCTGATAGTCCCAGCTACTTGGGAGGCTGAGGCAAGAGAATCACTCAAGCCCAAGAGTTTGAGGTTGCTGTGAGCTATGACAACACAGCACTCTACCGAGGGCGGCATAGTGAGACTGTCTCAAAAAAAAGTGTAAAGCAATCAAATCCTTTTGACTTTTTCTAAGATGATATAACAAAGTAAAATTGCAAGTTATTCCTGACTAAACACACACACACACAGAGCACAGGGGACGCTCTTCAGATGGAAAATGAAAAAGGTGCAATCACGGTCTCCATCCTTAGTGACTGAATACACTACACTCAAATTCACCTTGAGTGTAATCTAGAGGTGTACAAAAGGCATAAAAGGATCTGACTCAATAAATATTGAGTTCCTGTGCTAGGTGAGTGTTTATTATTTCTAGTATTTATTTATTCAGTTTAGTCACCACGAAAGCCCTTTAATATATTTTTTCTATTTTTTTTTTAATGAGACAAATCCCAGAAATATTTTAAAAACCTGACCCAAGTAAGTTAATAATGTCAGGGACTGGATGTCACTAATCACTGCTGACTCTTAAAATAATATAAATTTAGTGAGTAATAAGACTATTCGGTAATGTATTCATGAGAAAAACAAGCAAAATTCTTAGACATTTTTATTATACAATCTCTGAGTATTTAAACTATTTTATGGATCAAAACAGTCAAAGGCATCTGCTTTTCCAAACAGTAAGAAAGTAACTCTAAAAATTCTTCCCACAGGAAGAATTGTCAGTATGTCAGAAGCCTACTGAAAATGTCACGAAAACTGCAGCAGAAAGGTCACATAAAGTGTTTTAATGACAAATAAATAATGCACATCATGTGAGTCCTGGGCAATCGGGGGCATCAGGGCAAAGATACTTCTACAAGTTAATCTTGTGGAGATGCTAAAACCACAAAAATCAACGCAAAATACCCTGCCTGGTCAAGAATTATTGTGAAAATATTTGTATGTCTTCAGTACATTTACATTTTGTTTTTATAATCATTTCTGCTATTTTGGAAGCAAAAATTATCTATCTGTTTGTCTATTCAGTTTGCCAATAGGCTTATTTCTCCTTGGTCCTCATTCAACGCTCACGATGAGTTCACAACCCACGATCACTGGAAATAGTATCTTTGAAACTATATAATGTTTAAAGAAGAAAGAGAAGAGACAGGTTTAAGTATTGGTTAAAGCAGCTGAAAACAGCAGTCAACCTCTGAAAGTCATGTAAAGGATCTGCATCTACATATTACTAAGTGTTGTTGTTATATTTTTAAGTAGTCAACTTTCTTATTTCTTTTATTTTATTAAATCATAGCTGTGTACATTGATACAGTCATGGGGTACAGTGTGCTGTTTTTATGTACAATTTGAAATATTTTCATCAAATGGGTTAACACAGCCTTCATGTCATTTACTTAAAATTAGAAAAACACTGGATGAATACTGACGATAGCAGAGGGCATTCGTGTGGTAAACTTCTCATTTTTGTATAATCAGAGTGTAAAAACAGTTCTGAAACGACCGTGTCGCCTTCTTGCTTGTGTAGAGGAAACTGAGCCTTCTTTCATTACTAATTCATGGCTTTACACTGAGCTCGTGGACTTTTCTCACACCTGCTGCAGTGAACATTCAGGAATAAAACTTGACTGATGGTTCATGTTTTCAGTTATTCAGAAAATCACAAATACCATTTCCAAATCCATAATTTAAAATGACTATATCAGTATGAACACTGTAACTAAATTGTCAGCTAACATTACAAGTATGAATACTGAAACTCAGCCCTGTTGATAGTGCCACTGTTTACATCTGGGAAACTTTGCCTACAGAGGTTCACATGGGCTCACAACAGGCTCAGGTGTCAACACCAGTACAAATTCTATGAATCTGAATTTCTCCCAGTGTTTAAATGTGCTCTACCTTGTAAAATAGACCATTCTTATCTCAAAATAATTTAAAATCTTAGATCTTCCAAAACATTGCTCTTAGTCGGCTCCCATACAAACAATAAGAAGTAGATTTATGTTTGTGTGTAAGTCCAGCCTGTAAAGTTCTAGTTTCACCCTTAAGCCTCCTGGCTTCCTCTTGAGGCATAAAGATTAATGGTAAGGGCTTAAAGGCTTAGAAGACTGATTCTGTCACTTACTCTGTAACATTTGGGAGAGTTACAAAGCTCTCTGAGTCTGCGCTGTCATCTATAAAACAGTTAAATAACTATATTTACTCCATAAGGTGAGGGAGAGGATTGGCAGACTAGTAAATGTGAACAGCACGGCTGTAAATCCTTAGAATAAGTAAAAACACATCTCATTAAAATGACTAGAGGGGATTTAAAAATCACATTTTTTAAGGGTATAAGCATATATATGGCTTTCATGTCTGCCAAATTCCATGCTCAACGTTACATTTAATGAAGGAACTGTAACTTTTAAAAGCCATATCTTAAAATGAAATTTGCATGGAGTGCCTGCCTCACCAGAGTAGTGTAAGGATGAAAGGAAAGAAGGTCTCCTTACTTAGTTTAGTGATGGGTACAGGGCCACGTGGTCAACGATCACAACTGATGCTCAGGGTGGGAACTCCAGACTTTTTAAACAGGGGACCAGTTCACTGTCCCTCAGACTGCTGGAGGGCTGGACTACGGGCCCCAGGATGAGTTGGCTGCAAAGCAGGACAGGCAGCGGTGGCAAAAACACCCAGCGGGCTGCATAAATGTCCTAGGCAGGCAGCATGTGGCCTGTGGGCCATAGTTTGAGAATACCTGCCCCAGATTCTTGCTGAAAGGGTTGAATAGTTTTAAGGCCTTCATAAAAATCACAGGCATTTTAATCTAATAGGCTCCTAGTCCTTCTCTTACCACATCTCTCTGCCTCTACCAAGAGGCAACGACTATTCTGTATTTTGTTATGGCCTTTTACTTAACTTTATTTATACTTTTATGATATGTGAAGGAATCTGGAAATTATTCAGCCATGTACTATGAAAAATAGAGACCACGTGGCTGGACACTTTCTGGACAGCCGCTGTGTATGTATATGTATGTATGCATTCATTTGTAAACTTACTATTTAAGAAACTAAATATTTTATATTACATACAAAATGTCAATTCCAGAAATATATAAAGGTATAGAGAAAAAGGCAAAATTTAATAATTTAAATTAAGGTATATTGTTATAGTTCATCATAATACTGTATGCATATGTTTATGTTCATATATGATTCACTAATGTGCCTTCTTAAAAATTTAGTTTTTAATTTTATATCAATTTTTATTTACACTTTATGCCTACAGATTTATTAATCTGATGTTGCAGAATACAGCTGATTCTAATCACGCACAGGCACTGTGCCCTATAAAGTTATCCTGTATACCAAATTAGTGAATACCTCTGCGGCCCGTGGGACAGATGCCGGGTGAAGTTGTTGTGAGATTCTGAGCACCTTTTCGTCAAGCAATCAATATATGAACTTGTTTGATGTGTGTTTTTGTTGAAAGATGGCTTATTTAATGTAGATTGTGCAGTCCCTGACGTTGACCTCACAGGAACAGTTGACCTCATTGCACCTCCTGTCTAAATGGAGCTTATCAAATCCAAGCATTTTCTGCGCAAGGCACATCACAGACTTTGCACTGGGAACACCAGACGGCACTACTCCTGGGCGCCACCGTGAACAGTCAAATCCCCGACAAAAAGCCCAGAAATGTGAAAAACAGGGCATTAAATAGACTGCCAAAAAGGGACACTTGTTTTCTGAATGAGAATTGAAAGAAGGCAGAGTGCTACTTTGACTTCAGAGGGTGACATGAGTTGCATAACTCCAATTTTGAGTCCCTCTGTGCAAGTCAGCAAGTGATTGCAAAGTGTTGTGAGTCACAGTTAAATTTCTGCGAGTTGGCCAACTGAAAAATGTGGACTCACCAATATGATCGTATTTCATTTCTGAATATATGCACGTCTGTGTCCATATATCCATACATATGTGTGTGGGACATATATAGAAGAACTTTTTCTAAAAAATATGTGAAAGCATTGTATGAAAATTCTCTTTGCTGCATTTTCTTGGCCAATGCATAGGTTTTATACATATTTTTTCTAACCTAGTAGAGCCATAAAATATTCGTTAGTGGCTTTATTTTGTGTTCTGTGATTACTGACAATCTTGAGTGTCTTTCCATATTGTTAGAGTCTGTATTTGCTGAGAACACCAGTTCCTGCATTCTGCTAGCTGTGCTTGCACCAAAGAGAGAGAGAAGCCCCCTCTTTGTGGTTCTTCTAAAATTTGGATATTTATGCATTACATTTCTACTTCACTAGCAATTAACCTAGAAATTTAAAATGAAATTTTACTTAAAATTAAAAATTAACGACAATTTATTATTTACAACTATATGGGCATTCACTGAGAATCTAAAATTTAAAAATATGCAAACACAGATAATAAACAAAAACATATAAATCACCCCCAATCCTATCACTAGAATTAACTACTTTAAACACATAAGTGAATATTATTATGCTAGAGTTTTGATTATATGCATATGTGCATGTAACTTGTTTCACCCAATTGGAAATGACACTTTTAAGTTATATCAAAATTATATACGCACATGCGTAACAAGGGGAAAAAATCCACTGGTTGAAGTATTTCTAAATATTTTCACAATCACATTATGATTCTTTCTCGTGCCTTTTTTACTTAGAGTTTGCCACAGGTGTGTTTTCCTACACAATATAATCTTTGGGCTATAAAGTGTGTTGATGCCCTGACAGTTCTGCAGAGCAGTCTGTAGTTTGCCAGGAATTTATCCCAAGATACTATGTCCCACCCTCGGGTCAGTTTTGACACTGATACTTTCTTGATCTTCTCACAACATATCAACAGAAGATATTCAGTCCACAAGGCTTACATTCCTTCCCCTAACGGTCCACAAGTAGTCTGTGGACTGAATTATTAAGCGATTGAAATTATCCAACTGTGATTAGAAACAATCACCAGCCCTGCTCAGGCAGAGGCCATGACTGTCGTGACTGCACTTTGTCAGCCGTGATCGTAAAATGCCCTTCAGTGGAAGCCACTCTGATCTCAGAGGCATTACAATGAGAGATAATGACCTTGGAATTAATAAAGAAGGAAGTGAGAAGAAATAACGAATGCAGCGAATATTTACACATATGCATCTATGCAACGTTTGTATTTATGCTATGAATTAAATAAATGGACCATGTATAAGTACAACTGAGCTTCTCATCTTTTAAAACTTATGAATATACAACTCTATCACTGGTTAATATTGGCTAAATTAGTTCAGTAAACCCGAGAATATTTGGATTCTTACCGTATGTCACTATTATGAGCCACTGTAGTAAGTACTTTTTTATAGTTCTGATTTCAACTTAAACCATAGGAAAAAAAATACTTTTTGCTCCTAATTCCTCACTTTTCCAATGAATATTTAGAAACTCTAAATTTCTAATTATTTATTCACTAGCTGTCTTTCTAATTATTTCTTTACTATTTCTTTCTAATTATTTATTCACTAGCTGTCTTTCATCACAATCTAATAACAAGGCTATCACTGTTTCAGCAGTTCTCAGGATAGCTGTCGGCATAGAATAGGGTACTTAATATTTTTGTTAAAAATAACAAATTGATAAATAAATAGCTATGGGTATTTATGCACCATTCACTGTGCTCACTGCTGTCATTTTAGCTCATGAAATTTCAGCTTTAATAATGAATTTTTTGTCTTCAAAATAACCATGTGGTATAACTCCATGGTTTGTCAGGAGATAAACTAGAGAATGTAGGCCCGTATCATTGGTTTGAGGTAGACCTTTTAACAAATACAGATAACAATTCCATGGCCAATGCTGGTAGCAACTGTAGTATAAGTGCCTGGTAAAAAGCTGGCCTTAGATGACATTGTAAATGAAAAAGGAGAAGGGTTAGTCATCTCCATAAACATCATTCGGCAAATCAAAGTTCTTAGTAAGCAGTTTCGGGGGACTTTGTGAGCTGCACATCAGTCCTCCCTGCTAGTCACCTGTCTCCCATTCCTCTAGATTCTGCCTTGAACATCTCACCCAGGAATCCTGCTTTCTATTCCCTGTTAAACTCATATTTTTAACGTACGTTGCATGAGACTATGTTTTGCACTCGGCCTGATCACCTATTTGAATGTCCCTGCTCTGTTATACAAGTCAAGCTATTTTCCCAGATGCTACGCACATCAGTCTTTTCAAAAGTTTCCTTGCCTTTAAAAAAAAAGTCTTGCTAATATTTTTTTTCTGTTTTGTATTATTTTTTGGACTTCATCAGTGTATAATCTCAGTATATGATCTTTTGTCCTTTGTTGCAAGTACATTTGCCTGCTTTTATTCATAACTGCACATGTCAGGCTGCAAGGCACCACTTCTGGCCTCTCCATTTCTTAGCTACACCTTATTTCATTTCTTTTACATAAAGTGACATCTTATGACCTTTAACTAATTCACTAGAAGTGGAACCAGACCAATTAATTCCAAAAATCCCACTTTTAAGATTGTCACATCTTCCTCATTAGCAGCTCTGGAGTTGATCGATAGTCAAGACCCAATCCACGTAGTCATTAGTTTCGTGTTTTTTTCTTTTTCCTATACACAATTCTGTAACATTTTATAATCTATGACTGTTGTGTCTCATCCCTTTTATTTGTGGACATAGTCAAGAAAATGAGTTCAAAGTATGCTCTTACCTGTTGACAGATGCCCACTTGAGCAGATTTATTTGGATGATATGTAGAATCTTTATCTAGTTTCTATACTTTGCAGTTTGATGTTTGAAAAAAAATTCAAAAGAAGGGAGGTAGAACAGACTCCGGATTACCTAAAGAAATAGAAAAACAAATTGCTATTTGTATAATTGAATTCCACAAGACATATTAGAACCACTAGCCTTAACTCATCTCGATAAATTGTGATTGTCTTTAAATAATTAGCCAAAGTAAACGTATCTTTGTCAATCCACTGCCAGAAGGACTAAGGTGTAACCCAAATGATCAAATGTGTGCATGAGAAAAAAATATAAAAGATAAAATAAAGAAAAATTGGGTATTATAATTTTTAATAAGCCAATAAATTACATACCTACCATGTAAGAAAGGATATGTATTAGTATTCATTAGTTGTTACTAAAATCTTTCCTTATATCCATTTAAATAATTTACTATAAAATTCAATTAAATAAATTAAATATCCATTGACAATACAAAAAATATACAATTTAAAAAATGATTATCGGCAATAATGTCAATATTTATAAGACTTACAACAAGACAGACTAGATCATTAAAAAAAAACCCACAAAATTACCTTAGAGATATTCTGATTTAGAATTCCCACTTCTACTTAAATCTGTGTGATAGACAAACATGCTAAATTTCTACTACGTCAAATATCTTCATTTTAACATAAATAGGGTGCTCCATATAAGGAATTCAGCACTTACGAGTTTATTTTGTGAAAAGTCAATTTTTCCATTTAATAGCCAGTTGTCTGCCTTGCCTCTGGGGCTACCTGCTTTTCAAAGTGCTGAACAAAGACCACACAGCTGCCAGGTAGAAGAAGGTTTGCCTGAGAAGATGAAGAAAGCATGATCTAAATGCCTAGTCGGTCTCGAAACTGGAGGAACAGCTTCAATCAGATGCTTAGAGTGACGAGACGTCATCTGCAATAGTGGCTCTGCCATCTAAGCTAAGGGGTATGCACATCCTTCTGCTGAGGAGCTGAGGGAGCTAATGATGCCGTGTGGACATCGATACCGTGTGTCTTACTCCAGATCCAAAGCAACACACTTTGTTCCCACAAACCTGCCTAATGCTGAAATTATTAGTAAGGGGGTGAGTATTTCAATAGGAATAGGCGTGGAAAGCATGAAAGCTGGGCGACTCCTCTCCTGCTTCCTGTATCCGCTGCACACCACCTAGTCCTCTGTGCAGAAAGTCTTGACTTCAGTGCTGGATGCAAACCTGAGGACCCTGTGACAGCTCCAAGCAACAGCCGAACAGATAAACAGGCTAAGTCACACAGTGACGGAGATTGAGACAGAGATGAATTCAAAGTCAACAGAATGAACAAGTGGAACAAAGAAGATGCTAAATATGACTGTAGTTCTGTGGGTCTGGAGCAGTCCTTTCTGGGAAGGAAATAATATAGAAGTCTGCATGTCAGAGGCCGCCACGGTCATGAACACTCATAGCTCTAAGAGGGTCGTAAAGACACAGGGCTGACTGGTGCCGTGGGCCTGACTTTGCCCAGGAGGGGAAGGCTGAGAACACCGGCTTCAGAGAATTCATGCTGCAGCTGCAACAAAGAAACCAGACACCGGTGCTCTGAGGAATCCACACAGAACTCATCCTTTCTTATTACCAGCTTTGCACAGAACACTAAAATCAGTGGTGCTCGGGTATAAACAGCACCGCCTAAGGCCCCTCCTAGCAAGATGGCACCTGCAGCGTCATCTGCACCTTCACAATGTGGTTTTATTTCAGGTGTCTCTGTTCATTCAAGATTGCATCAGGCAGCAATGTGCAGGTGGGAAATGACTGAGTTGGTCAATGAGCTACCAAGACAAAGTAGTAGTATCTTCCCAGGAAGGGAAACGTTAAAATAAAACAACCTAAAAACAGACAACCCTGAACTTGTTGTAACTGACACAAATAGGAACTAAAATGGTTTTCTGAAGAAACAATCATGCTTGATGATCGTTGATACCCTGATCTAAGTTCTCATAATATAAAAGTCTCTAGGAATGTCAGATTAAGTGACGGTAAGTATAAGAGATTATAGAAAGCTTTCTTATTTATTTAAATATTTTTAAACAGTGGTATTTAATTCTGGCTAACTAAATTCTCAAGTAATTTAAATAGTAACACGGCAGAGATTAGTTTTGAGCTGTGTAAATATCACATACATTCAGTGCTTAAACTCCTGAAAGAGTGGAATTGGTTTGGTGAGAGTAATTTCCAGAACTTTGCATCATAATGGTTTTCTATAGTTAAGATATATGACTGTTAAAATGTTAGTGGTAAACATTCGGTGAGATTAAGTATTTTTGCATCTACATAAGTTGGTTAATATTTTAATACATTCTTTGTCATTAAAAACAAATGCACACAAAATATATCACATTATAGGGCGGCACCTGTGGCTCAAAGGATAGGGCACCATATGCCAGAGGTGGCGGGTTCAAACTCAGCCCTGGCCAAAAAAGGAAAAAAAATCACATTACATTTCAGTGCCATCCATTCTAATTAGGATCTGGTTTGAGGTTTTACGTGCTTTTCAGATTATAGGATATTTTTAGGGGAGAAATCTCACAGATAAATGTTACCATTTGATTTATAAACTTTGGAAACTGAAGTATAGAGAGAAGCTCATTGTTCTGTTCTAGAAAGCGGTTAACCCTGTCCATGGGAGCTCTTTCTGCGGTGTTTTACTGTGTTTGATGAACTTCTAGGTGTTTTTATTTTTAAAAAATGCTTTTTGGATAATTTTTTAAGTACTAGATTATCCACACATCATGTCTTAGCCTAGAAACCTGCAGGGTCATTTGATTGTATATGAGTCAAAGAACCATTATGAATTAATTCCACGAATGGAAATAAAATGGAGAAGTTTTGATATTATAAAACAAAGAAAAAATGGCACCTCCGTGAGAACCCAGGGATGAGGAGTGAGGTTGTGCCGGCCAACTGGAGTGAGATAAGAGATCCTGACAAGTCCAAACTCTGTCCACTCACCAACATTTCTATGAAATCTCAAGGTTCCCGACCCTGACTGGCCCGTTTTCTTCTAAAAAGATTATCTCTCATTCAGGATTCTCTTCGACAAACAGAACAATAATCCAGGCACCCTTCTTTGTGGGCTATTAATCTATATTCACATCTATTTTTCTACATATATGAAACTATCATAATATATTTCATACATGTATTTGTACAGATATACTCACAAAATGCATATACGGGTATTTAGTTTTAAAAATGAAAGATAGCATTTTAGAATTGGTGGGTCAGTCTAAAAACCCAGTAGAAGGCCAATAATTCTTAAGCAAATGAGAAAGCTTTCCTTTAATTTGGGGAAGCATCTATTTGGGGGCCTGCTTCCCGAAGTCCAAGTGGGCATAAAGGTCATTCTCCCCTACAAAAGCAGCCTTAATTATTATAAATGCTAGAAATTGGACTGGTGTCTGCTAATGTTGGTCCTTGGCAATCACACACAGATGTCACATTTTATGATGCCCTCTACTTACAACAAAATGCATGAAAATATATACAATGCCGTAGAGCTGCTGTTCCCAACCCCAGGCCACAAACGGGGAAAGGCAGTTGATCAAATTATAATCGCACCATAACCAGTAACTTTTAAAAATTTTTTTTGGCCGGGGCTGGGTTTGAACCTGCCACCTCCTGCATATGGGACCGGTGCCCTACCCTTTTGAGCCACAGGCACTGCACCACCAGGAACTTTTCCTTACGGCTTCTATTGCTGATTCTACTTTAACACACCAACATGCAGGCCATTCTCTCGCCATACAATTGATCTCCTTTCAGTTTTACTCCTACAGGGAGTAAAATCCAGATTCTAGTGAATCTCTAGACTTCAATTCTCACTTGTGTCCTCACCTGTCTTTTCCGTCAGAATTCATACACTTGTTTTTTTTTTTTTTTTTTTTTTTT